TTGTTTCATGAAATATTTGTTTTGCTTTTAGGTGTGCAGTATGTTAAAAATGTTCAAAACCACTACTGTAGTATATATTTGCTTACTGTCTGAATCAGTGGCTGAAATTTTTACAGTAAAAATTATCATTAGCTGGGAATTGTGGCATATACCTATAATCTCAGCATTGAGGGAGGCTGAGGCAGGAAGATGATAAGTTCAAGTCCCATCTGGGCAATTTAGTGAGACCCTGTCTCAAAAAACAAAAATCTGGGATGTAGCTCAGTGGTATAGCACCCCTGGGTTCAGTCCATAGTATAAAAAAATTTTGACATTAAAATTGTGGCAAGATATAAAATGTATTTGAGAAGAACATTTCTGCTTACTTTTAATTTAACTGTCAAAATAAAATTTTCTTCTAAGTTTTATTAAAAGTACTAAGGATATGGCTAATTTTGAAGCACAAGATTAGGGCATAATATGAAGTTGCCTGGTTAAAGCCCCTGTTTGTTATTAAATGGAATGCTGGGTGTGGGCTGGTGTGGCTCATAGTTGAGATCTACCCTGAAAGAAATGTTTTCACCCTAAACAAATATCATCTTTGTTCTGATATCTGCAGTGCCTGTAACCACAGCAAGGTCCTTTTTCACCCTTGGAAAAAGACAAAATACACACCTCAGACTTTTTAAAGATTTCTTGTGCTTGTTCACAAAGAATTTAAAGTAGAGCTAGCTGGTGTCCACTTTTTTGGTTATAATTAGTTGGAGAATCTGTGAGGTACCACCTAAAGAGTCTTGGTGTGCTTAGAATTACAACATAATAATGAAATCTTGGAATAGATAGGTTACTCTATGGGGACTGAAGCAGCTCTCAGTTCCCAAGGCCAGACTGATTATCCAACAAAAGGTAAAGTACTTTTAAAAATTGATATTATTTTGGGAGCTGGGGGATTTAGCTCAGTGGTTCTGCTGCCTGACTCGCAGGTGCGAGGTCCTGGGTTCGATCCCCAGTACCAAAAAAGAAATACTGATATTATTTTATATATTTAGTACTTATCTATCAAAATCTATACTAGGGAAAATGATCTGTCAGTTTTATTTTGTTGGTTTGAATTCGATATTCAGTAACTATTAATTTGGGGTTAATTTAACAGCATTAAAAAAGCTTTAGATAAAAAATTATTATTTTCTTCCATAAATTTTTGTCCAAAGATATTTTTCTGTATACTTGAGCATTAAACTAACATCTTGGTGAAGTAAGAAGGCTGATATTTAAAATAGTTGTGCCACGTACTTCCATATGGTTATATTTTTAAGGATAGGAACTTTTTCTTCAGCTACAACCACGTTGAATTATACTTTAATCACCATAATACTTTGGCAGTGTATAGTATTGTACTTTAAACCACATTTTTACAGATAAACTTTTAAATTATGGATTTTTCACACAAGAGTATGAAGATACAATGTGAATTTATGCGATAAAGCTCTCATTAAATTTTTATTTGATAAAAATTTGTGGCATCTGATGAAAGTATCCAACAACACAGCTGTTATTGCCTAGTAGGTGCCTAGAACTTTGTGCATACTTGCATACAGACACAAGATAGCTGCTGGTGTCATTGTTTTAGGGTAAAATCTTTGTTCTTTCAATGGAATTTCTAAATAAGCAATTAGTATGCATCTAAAGAAACTATGAGGTACAGTTCTTAATATATTTCTCAGCTACTGTTCAGATAATAAGAACCCTGCATAAAGATACTACTTTGACATCCATAGATAATTACCACACAATGTGGATTGATAAATTTCATATTGGGGGCCGGGATGTAGCTGAGCAGCACCACGCCTGCCTGATAAGTGCAAAGTCCTGAGTTCAATCCCTGGTGCTGGAAAAAATAATAAATTTCATATTGGGAAAGATTGGCATTTCTGTTTTGTCTCTTAAAAGAAGATTTGGATATATTTCACAAAACTAGTTTGGCTTTAAATCCAGTCTCTTTTTAGAATACATTCATTAATATAAAATTTCCTCATGGAGAAATACAAGGATAAAAAATTTCTAAGGGAATTTAGAGATCAAGAGTTTATTATTGATTAGAATCAGCTCTTCTACTGAGGTTAATATACATGATCTTTCTCTCAGAAATCAGGAAACAATTTTATCTAATTCCAGTAGGCCCTCTGTTACATGGTTGGGTTTTTCTTCCTGGAACTTTCTAGCCTGACAATGATCTGGGTAAAGCTCTTGCAATTTGCCATAATTTTCTTGGGATGCTCAGCATCTTCAGTTCCTAATTCCATTGTTTCCACTTCTTGCTTTTATTCTTTTAAATTTCTCATTGTTATGTTTGAAATATGGATGAGACTCAGGACTGATGGGGAGAATAAGGGACTGGTATTTTAAAAAAATTCCAAGAAAACATCCATCTATATAGTATTTCACCTAATCACAAAGAAATTTATGTTTGACAGCTCTAATAGTAGACATGGATTTTAATAAGTAGTCAAGTTCCCTAGTTTGAATTAAATTTTTATGCATTTGCTTTTCTTACCCTTCAATAGAAGCATGAGTGTAGTGCTTTAGAGTAGCCAAAGTGGAAAAAGGAATTGACTCATAAGTCTAAAACAGAGTAATGAAAAAACAAATATATTTATGTATTTCAGATTTATGTTTGCGGAGTTCATTGTGAAAATCTGAGCAGCTAGTTTGTAATTTTGTTTTTAACGCATTCTATTTACTTATTATTCACATTTCCTCCAGAGGACAGCATATTAACATTTTATACTCTGAGAAAAGCAGTGACATTAATATTTATTCCCCCAAAACTAAAAATTCACTGATTCCTATTTTGCTATTTTTACTATTATAAGCAATCTTGTGCTTGTTTTTTTGAGGGGGCCAGTTAAGACAGGGTCATGCTATGTAGTTCAGGTGGGCCTTGAACCCTGGGTGATCTTCCTGCCTCAGCCTCCCTTAGGGGTGAGATTACACGGGTCACCACGCCTGGCTTATCTTGTGCTTATTTGATTATCTCATTGACATAAATCTCTAGAGGTGGAATTCTTGGGTAAAGGATATGCCTGCTATTTTTGAAAGATTTCTGATAACATTATTGTACTTTCCAAGAAGAACTTGTGCATTTGTGTGTTTATTTTCAGTGCAAGGAACTGTAAATTCCCCCATGCTATGATCAGTGAGTATTATCAGTACATTTTTTTGGTTAATCTGAGATAAATGCAAAGTGATATTTTAAAACTTATGTTTTTTAGTTACTAATGAGGTTGAATTTTTCCATGTCTTGGTTTTTTAAAATTTAGATTTTATTTTTTATCAGAGCTATAATTAGTGTAAAAATTCAGCAGGCTATAACAGACTGTTGTAAACAGTCACGCATCCCCACCACCCTGGCTGTTTGGTTTTGTGTTTACTCTAGAGCTAACATACCTGTATTGCCACTTCCTGTCTCTTCAGTTTTAGATGTTATCACTGGTTTCCTACTTTGGAGAAAGATGGTTTGATTCTCCACCCTGCCCCCACCTCTGTCACACATATTCCTTCAACTCTTGGGGAATTATGAAAGAGACTCCTGTTAATCAATTCTCTCTTTTTTTAAACTCCACCATTACCTCTCCTTGAGAACCACCATTTCTTGGACCTTTAGGGTCCTCTCATGAACCCCTAAATTGTTATTTTAGAAGAATTTTGGAAGAAATGGATCTAAAAGTATGTAATCCATCTGCTGTCTTTAACTGAAAGTCTTTCTGAAAAGTAGTGGTTAAAGCTATGGGATATGGAGTAAAGATGAGGATTCAAATCCTACCTTTGCTTTTTACTAGCTTTATGACCTTGAACAAGTTGCTTAAAATCTCTAAACTATCACTGGTGTGGGATTACTTGTTGTAAAAATTAAATATGTGAAGGCATGATACAGTGCTAGGCTCAGTATCTGCTGCCTGTTAGTATTTTAGCGTCTGCCAAGCAACTTAATAAGAACACAGATATAGTTGTTGCTGCTGTTGTTAGTCTTGTGAATTTCTTTCTTTTTTTGGTGGAGGGGTACCGGGGATTGAATTTGGGACCTTGCATTTGCGAGTCAGGCGGTGGAACCACTGAGCTAAATCCCCGGCCCAGTCTTGTGAATTTCTTGCTTGTGATCTTTGTCCAGATTTTCACTGGAATGCTGTATTTTCCTGATCAGTGATATGATTTATACAATCTGTCCTTGGTTTTTTTATTTATGGGTCTTGGGATATGTAATCATATCCATACCATTTCATGTTATGCTCTCTGCTTTTGTTGTCAGTTTTGTTTTTGAAAGATATCCCTCTCAAAGGAGAAAGGTATGTGCATGCATGTGTGCATGTGCTAAAACTAGTCATAGAGACCAGCTAGTAGGTTATCGTAGTTGTTGAGGCATTGACAAAAGGACCTGAAAGCCAAAATGGACAGTATTTTCATCATGTCATACAAAATTTTTTATAGGTTCTGATGTGTATCTTATCCTAGTTTATTTTGCCAAAAAAAAAAAATTATAATTTTTAAAAGCCTTTTTCAATGATCTTATTTTCTGCCCAACTGGATATCATCTGAAAACTTAGAGCTCTCCACTTCCAGTTTTTATTTCAATTCTCATTTCTATAAAATTTTAGATCCAAAAATAATTCTTGAGGGCTATTTATTATGTCCTGAGCGTATGCTGTGTTAATAAATGTACTTTCTTTTAAATGTCGTATCGTTAAAGTGGCAGATATGTTGAGATTCTAAAGTTGTAGTTACAGATTTTTTTTTTTTGTTACTGGGCCTTGAACTTGGGTCCTTGCGCTTGTGGGGCAGGCGGCAGCACCACTGAGCTAAATCCCCAGCCTTGTAGTTACAGATTTTTAGCTCATCTTTTAAAATTTATTGGATTTTGCTGATTTTTCATTTTAAGCAACATGTCTTTTAAAAATTTTGTCCTAGTTCTTAATTACTTTATGGTTCTTTTAATAACAGTTCACCTAAATTTGATCTTTCCACAGATTCGGACCAGGATGTAGCCCTCAAACTTGCCCAAGAACGAGCTGAAATTGTTGCTAAATATGACAGAGTAAGTATCCATATTTACTCTTTGAGTTTTAGTAGGAAAAACCCATATAAATAGAAAGGAATTTATGTTTGGAGAGCTGAAATTACAGAAGCACCTTGTTTACTTCATGGGAACATTAAGCTCATCCTTTTTCCTCTTCATCTCCAAATTTTCTCCTTTTTGCCACTCTAGTCTCTTGCTGTTAAACCCCTAGGCTTACTCCTTCCGCAGAACCTTTGCCCAGGCTGTTTGCTCTGCTCTGTATTCTGTGTATCCTGATGCCTCATTGCCTCGTCCCATCAGATCTTTACTTAGACACTACCTTCTCAGCGAGCTCTTCTCTGACCTCCATTTGGTTACTCACCTTTCTATACCCTGGCACTCTGTATCCCTTTTATTTTTCACCATAACACTTATTACATCACCATTCTATATATTTTACTTTTTTTTTTTTTTTTTTGTGGTCTGCTGTCCTAGATGTAACCCTTTCATGACATGGATTTCTTTTGTTTGGTTTACTCTTGTATCCTAAATACTAGAACAGTTTCTGACTTATCCTAGGTGTATGTAAGTACTTGAGTGAGTGAGGAGAATAAAGTGTGCATGTTACGCATATTTTATATGTGGTGTTATAAATTTACTACAGATCTTAGAAACTGTATTAATGCATTTATATGTAATTTCCTTTAGCATTTTGTCCTTAGTATGGAATATGTTTCTTGATGTCCTAGATAATCACAATTGTTGATTTACATGTCTCCTTACATATGACCTTACCTCCTGAGATTTATAATGAGTCATAGCAGGTATTTATAAATGTCATGTTTTATATTTGTGTCACTTGTTTTTATATATATATGTATATATGTATGTGTGTGTGTGTATATATATGTGTATATATGTGTGTGTATATATATATATATACACACACACACACACACACACACACATATAATTATTTGAGAATAGCAGGTACATGAAATTACAAGAAGTCACCATGTCTTCGCTCTGCTTCCAGGGAGTCATGCAGACAGTATTCAACTTAACAGTTGTATTTTCAGAGTTTATTTATATTTTTATTTAAAAATTTTTTTTTGGTACCGGGGATTGAACTCAGGACCTTGCGCTTGCGAGGCAGACAGCAGCACCACTGAGCTAAATCCCCAGCCCTCCAGAGTTTATTTTTAAGTTGGTTGTTTGAAACATCAGATATAGTTCTCATTATTATTTTTAGGTTTTACTGTGGTCCATGAAAAGCCTAGTTAGGTTATTTTACAGCTTAATAGAAAACTGATAGAACTATCATTCATTCATGCTTGTATGCATCTCCCTCACCCTCTCATGCAGTTAGCATGGGCCAAGACCTGGGCATTCTTTTGTTTTATAATGCCTAAATGAGTTGAGCACTTCTTGCGAACAGGGTGCTTAGCATCTACTCAGAGAACACATGGGCAGACATTATAAAATATACTGAGTTGGAGGCCTCTGCTAGATGGGTGTTTGAGTCTAAAATTTGAAGGATTGGTGTACTTTCATTGTAGGCTCCTACACTTATCAGTATCAAAGTCAAGACAAAGTCACAGACTAGTCAGACATGAGACCTGCGAGAGGCAGTGTCATGGAAGTGGAAGAGAGAATGAGCAACACTGCCAAGTATGCCTCATGGTTTCTCTATGTAAGGACTGTAGAGTGACACAGGGTATGACAATGGATGGCCAATTTTTATTGGAAAGAGTTTCAGGGCCAATATATCTGTGCAGCAAAGCAGTAGAGCGATGAGGTATATGGTCTATTCCTCTGAGAAATTGGAATGAAAGGCAAGAAACATTTTTTTCCCTCTAAGAAATACTCACTTTGGAACTTTTAAAGTTTGGCAGTTCTTTCTTGAGCTGCTTTCTTATCCTGGTTGCTTCTCCTTGCTCACAAGCTTCCCTCAGGATCCCTGGTCTTATGAAGGCTCAGCTACACGTCAGCTGTTACTGACATAGAGTATCTTACATCATTTGTAATTAGAAATAGTGATTGTGTTTCCAGAACTAGTTGGATTTTTTTTAAAAAAGTTCTTGATTTTTGGTCTTTTTATTTAAAAGATCACTCAATTTTATAAACTCCAAATAACATCTTTTTCTTTGTCCATGATTTTAGGGACGAGAAGGTGCAGAGATTGAACCTTGGGAGGATGCTGATTATCTTGTTTACAAAGTCACGGATAGATTTGGCTTTTTGCAGTAAGTTGCATAGACTGAAAGCTAACATTTTTTATTACAATGTTAATGGGGCCACCTATTATCTTTATTTTCTTTATTTTTCATAAAGATTCTGTAAGATTCTAGGAATGGCCGTAGGTACTAGATTCCCAGCATTCTTAACCTCTATGATAAAAGTGAACTATAGTTAATACAGTCTCTAATATTTTTTGAGTTTTGCTAAGAACACTAAGTGCAATAAATGAGTTGTATTAATGTAGCAGAATTAAATGCACATGCATAATAATTTGTACTTTAAAAATAATTATAAAATATTTAATTTTCTGTGTGCATTTAAAATATAATTAGCAATTAAATCCTTAGTGTTATGTAGTCTAAAAATGAGCATTGTAAAGAAACGCCATTGATCTTTCTTATAGCTATAAATGTAGTCATGATATTGCCTCTCAAAATTAGTTCCATTTATTCCGAGTATGTTATATGAAGAGTTGAGAGAGGGATACACCACTAGAAAATAAAGCAGTTAAAGTGATTTTGACTCTTAAAAGCACCCCTGTAAAATGAGGTGAGCCCACTTATCTTTGGTTCTGGCATTGTTAAATCAGATTCCTGTGGGCCAGAGACTTCTGTTTATCTCAGTACTTTATTTGCTTCCCATACAATTTAAGATTAACTGAATTTTTATTCAAATTTATTATTTTCTAGCTTTGTTTATTGTAAGTATTTCAAAGCTAGGAATTTAAATTTTATAACAAATTTGAAGAAAAAACATTTTATAGTTCATAGCAAGAATTTATAATTCTCAGACCTTGTATTCTCCAATTTAGCTCTTTTGTGTGTTTGGAAATTATTTTGTTGCATAGTTTCTGAGGGTAAAGTAAGCAAGCAAACAGTTCTCGGAGATAGAGGTTGTGTGCCCTTCTTGTGGTTTTGCTGGTCTCTATTCAGTTAACCATTTTATGCTTCATCTGAAAACGAATTAGTAACTGCTTCACATAACTTGAAGGGTATTGAAGGTTTGAGAAAATAACTGTAAGAATACTTTATAAAGTTGACAAATTTAAGATATTATGTCTAATGACATTAGCATGTCTGAAACTTTCTCTTGACTAGTAATACTGAGAAGACTGAACTTCATTGAACTAACAAAGTATTTAATTATAATATAAATACTGTTAAAATTAAAATCCCACCTTAAAAAAAAAAGTCAGCTTTAGCCACAAATGTGACAAAAAATGATTGCACATTTGTGTAGGTTAATATGCAGAACTGGAATGTAAGTGAAGTTTTGAAGGACAATTTGTGCATTAAGACTGTTTAAGGTCAGTAAGTCCCCAGTTTTTCTGTATATTAGAGTCAGCTGGGAAATTAAAAAGATTTCTGGGTTCTAGGCTAGATTTTGATTCAGAAGTTATAGCCCTGTTTATTTTGACCTTCCCAAGTATTTCTGGTGAGATTGAACCACTGGAATGTGTATTTAATCATAAAATAATCCAATGGAGTATTAAGTACATTTGAAAACTTGAACTGTCTGAAAGGGTCTATTAATAACCTATTTTCTTTTCTTTTTGCTTGAAATAGTATAAGGTGAGCCTTTGAAACGAGATTTTTACAAATCCAAGATCCTGCCCTGTATTTGGGAATCCAAAAGTTGTGGTCAATTATTTTTTTTATTTTTTTAAATTCTTTGTGCTAAGTTCCATTTGGCTCTAGTGTGAAAAAGTCAGTCAATACCTTACCTTAATAATGTTAGGTAATGTCCATTGAACCCTTACAGTGTGCCAACCATTTCTAAGCCCTTTATATGGATAAACTCATTTATTTCTGTTAAAAACTATGGAGTAGGCTCTCTTTTTACCTCCTTTATTGTAGATGATGAAACTGAAGCACAAAGAGCTCAAATAAGTTGCCCAAAGTATACTGACAGTGAATGTCAGTTCTAGGGTATGGACTGTGACAGTCACTGCAAGACTCTAACTGCTATAGTGTTACTGCCTCTAGTATTTAAATAGGAGAAATACAGAATAAGTGCTTGGAAATGCCTAGAAAGAAAATGAGAAGGAATATGGGAAGAGTGTCCAAAGAGGATGCTTCTATTGCAATATATGGCTTCTATTGCCAGTATATTCTATTTGATGGTCACTTAGTGAGACAATCATTTCTATTACAATATATTCTAAGGTAGCTAAGCTCACTATTTTGAAATTGAAGCAGATTGGTACCATTTATACTGTTCACACTCATTTTTTATGTTTACTTTGTGATGCAGTCCTAAAGCAGACAGCACAAATGAAAATAGTGAACCACAGAAATAAATTTTAATGTAATATTATACTTTATTAAATTTCACCCACCCCATTTTTTTTTTGTTACAATCCATAGTTGTAGTAAAACACTTTCTCTATAGAGATTGCTTGTAGTAGCTTTTATTACATGTCACTGTAGGCTGGAGTTGTTTGTACTATTGAATAAAGTCACTTAACATAGGCGTCAAAAGAGCATTTCTTTCTATTCTCTTAATTACTTTAAATTTTTGATTGGTTCTGTAATGAAATTGGGTTTTAAGTTCAAAGTCAGTACGTTAAAATGGCAAAAAAATGACCTTGTAACCTTCTCTGAAGGCTTCTGAGTTGATATCTAATTACAATTTTAGAAACTCAAATTATTTGTTATGATATATGAAAGAGGGACAGTAATTAACAAGTGCAGTATAGTACCAACTTGGTTTTACAATATATTTCACAATAAATATTAAAGCTGTTGCCAAACCAGGTTGTCTTGATGTTGGAATAGCAACATTTTTGTTTAGTTCTCAGTGGTGGGGTATTATCCCCAGATCTGTGCCTGCGATGGAGTTACGGCTGGACAATAGAGAAATCATGCTTGCTTAAGAAATTGGGAGAACTTTAAACATTTTAATCAAAAATAGCTATTGCTAGTCTGCTCAACAAGAATGCTTGGTATTTGGATAATGTTAAATATTTCTTTTAGGTTATGAGTTATTAATAGCAAAATTGAAAGGAAATGGTACCAAAAATAGAGAAGATAAAATTAATATTAAGCATTAGATGTTCAGCTGCTTCTCAGAATTTGTATATTTATAAAATTGAGCAGACTGTTTCAGTTTACCATGACTATAAAAATATATGAGAGCCAAAATAAAGGTGTTTTTGTCTTTACAGATTATTTGTTTTTATTACAAGGGCTTGAGAACTCTTTCCACCAATCCTATAAAATTTGGGTAGACCATATCTGAACTTTGATAAAAATTACTTTGAAAACAAAAATGAAATTTAATCAATATATTCAACATACTGATTTTAACAAATTAAGATTTAAGTTTCTAAATGAAAGTTAATCTCACATTTACAGAATAGTCTACCTGAGCTGTTGAGAATAGAGGCATATATACTCTAGCTAGTAATACATTTAAAGTTTAATAGTAGATAACAGATATATCCAGCTATTCTCTCTCTTTCCCTGGATGATTCTGTTGTTGTTTTACTTACTATATTTCTATGAGATGTAATTGTTTGCCAGCTTAGTGTTTTCTTTATACAGCCTTTAAGTGCCTAAAGGCCCTTTATTCTCTAAAGCAGGGGTTAGCAAACACTTTGTGTAAAGAGCTAGATACTGAATGGATTTGGTTTGTGGACCATGTGATCTTTATCACAAGTATATCACTGTGCTGCTGTAGCACGAAAACCGTAGACAGGGCCTAATGGGATGACATTGTTCCATTATACCTTTATTCACAAAAATAGGCAGTGAGACAGATTTGATACATGGGCCATAATTTACTTACTTAAAGAAATACTCTGTATTCACCCATACTGTAGTCCTTCGTCTACTCTGCTTGAAGAATATGTGTAGGAGGAAGGTAAAGATGCATCCATGCATGTTTGCAGGTGTGCACTTGACATTCAGTCTGTACTTCAGCATTTACTGAGCTTTTTCAGTGTGCCAGTGTGTATTCTGGAAATCTCATGGAGCCCTTGATAAGATGGCATTCTTCTGTGTTCTCCTTAGGAGGCTGGTAACATTAACGTTTACCAACACAGACTTGAAGAGGAAAAGTTCTATGGAGATCTGTGTGTGCCCACAGCAGATTTCGTATAAAAAGTTTCATGTATAAGAAATAATGAAGGAAGGGCTGGGGACTTAGCGCAGTGGTTCCTCTGCCTGTCTCACAAGCGCAAGGTCCCGAATTTGATCCCTGGTACGCCCCCCCCCCCAAAAAAAAGAAAGAAAGAAATAATGAAGGAAAATCTTTGTAGGAAAACTGGACCACATTCTTATACTATCCTCCCATCTGTGAGGTTCAAAGTCTTTTTGTATTTAATCCTCAAAGTTGCTTTTCTTTTTGAGAATTGGTTTCACAACCTCTGTTCCTTTACTCTATATGCTCTGGTTCTAGCTGAATATCCTAGTTTGGATCCACTGGGTTAGATAGTGTTGAAACATTTCTATATTGGGCTAAGTGACTAAGTTATTAAAGTGTTAGTTTTCTTATCTATGAAATGATGGATTTAGACTCTGTATTAAGATCTCTTTTGCTGATTTCACTTTGTTAGTTCCATTGCTATGGCTCCATGGTTCATCTAAGGACTTTTCCAAGTAGCAAAAGAGTTCCTTTGAAAATGCTGAACTCTTGAGTGCTAATGTATCATGCTTTTCAAAGTGGTACTGTTTGATTGCAAAAAGCTAAAGCAAGAATATGTACATATTGGTGACAAAACAGTATTACTGAGAAAGCTACTAACTGAAAGCATTTTACTTTACAGATAGCATGTTTTTTATATTACTGATAGTTAATGAATCTCCAAATATTTTATATTAGATATGATATTATATACATGTACCAGAGAGATGAAGTTGATCTTTCTTGTATATTTAAAAAAAATCATCTGTTGAAATTTTGCCAATGTTTCCTTTATTGTACAAAATAGAAATGGATGTTTTCTTTTTAATTCATAAATCCCCTGGAGGCTTTTTTTCCCCTTTATGCTAATTTTTTAACAGTATTTATTATAGACCATAGTTGGAGTCAAAAATGGAGATGGTGATCTAGGGTAAAGTTTGGCAGACTAGCCAAGGGGGCCAAATTGAGCTCACTACTCATTTTTGTATAAGTTTTGTGAGCACAGTGCCACATTCAGTTTACATATTATATGTGTCTGCTTCTTCACTAGAACATCAGAATTGAGTATTTTTTTTTTTGGTACTGGGGATCCAACTGAGGACCTTGTGCTTGCAAGGCAGGTGGCAGAACCACTGAGCTAAATCCCCAGCCCAGAATCGAGTATTTATGAAAAAGACTGTATGGTACATGAAGCCTAAAATACTCACTGTTTAAATATTTGCCATGACGAAAGAAGTGTGCTGAATCCAGCTCTTGATCAGTGTTCTAGGACTTCCTGTAATGATGGAAATGTTCAGTATGGCAGCCTTTACCTACATGACTCAAGCACTTAAACTGTGGCTAATGATATTGAATAATGCAATATTAAATTTCATTTAATTTCAGTTTACACTGAAATAGCCACGTGTGGTTAATGGTTGCTGTATAGGACAGTGCTGGCGTGGAGATTTGAAGATTCAGCATTGTCACAGAATAGCTATTGTTTTCTATTGAATTCAGTGGGATGGAAACTTATGTAAATCTTGTGATGACCAGTAAGTCTTGCACATCATGTGTACCTACAGTTGTATAAGTTTTAAAAGTTTGTTTAGGTTTCAGCCATTTTAAATATATTATTACTCTCTGCAGTGAGGAGGAGCTCCCCTATCATAATGCAGCTATGGAACGGGTAAGTCCAGTTCTTCATTTATTTGTAGTTACTGGTAAATTGCCTTTGTTAGAGGAATAAAATTTACTTCCATTGTGAATTATAAGTGCTATTTTATATATAATATGCAGTCATTTTAAGGATTTGACCCTAATTATATCATTCTAAGAAAGTAATTAGTGGTAAAATTGTTTCAGGAGGATTTATAAGATCCTGATGGATACTTGAAAGCAAGGAATCATAGCAGTTACTAGAAAAGATTTGCATTGTAGAATGGTGGTTCCTGATCTTGCTCAGGCCCCACCTCGGTCTATGAACCAGCCTCTCTGGGTTTAGAACCTGGGCAACCAAATTTTCAAGTGTCACAAGTAATTCTCATGCTCTCAGCTAATAAGTTACCATTGTAGACCACTAACTGTTCTATGAGATTTTAATGAATTTCCCACAAATAACAAAAAGAAAACATTTTGACATCTTGTCCAGTAATTATCTGAGCATTTTAAGGATTTAAACAAGTGTTATATAGCAAACCTGTCTGCCTGTTTTTAACTTTTCCTCTACTTGGCAAGGAGCTATTTTCATATCCAGGTGTGCATGAAAAGTGGGGGTTGGATATTTTAAGTTGTTCAGAACTTCCCTCTCCTTCCTATTTTTCTGTCCCCAAAATTATAGAATGAAAGTGAGGGTGTCAATTTGTATTGTCTTCTGTTTGTGTATGTATATCTGATGTGGGGGTGGGAGGAGGAGCTGAGCTTCAGACAATGGAGGTCAACTTGGAATTCAAAAAATATTTTAGAAAATTAAAAAAAGGAAAAGAAAATCTAAGATCAAAATGCTCAAAGTCAAGACTATAGTGAAAGCTTAATGTAGACAAAATTGCCATTTTATGTATATAGAGATCCCTATGGGTACTTCCTGTAGTTGAAAGACTGTTTCTCCCTCATTATCATAACCTAAATAGATGCTTTGGCCAAAGAGTTTCTTTTAATAGCTACATTATTGAGTAGCAGCCTTGTGTTTAGCACTAGACTAGCTCATGTGAAGAATTCTAGAATGGAATAACTGTGATTTCTGCCTTTGAAAACTCACCACCACTAGAGGAAGATCAAGTGAGGCAATAGGAGATTTTTGGTGGCTTTTGGGACATAGAGTTAGTGAAATAAAATGGTATCCTGGAGGTGAGGAAGGCAAGATTCCATGTAGCTGAGGAATGCATGAGAAGGTGATTGTTTCATTGTCTTCCTCTGGTGAACTTTTTATCAGTCTACTTTAAATGGTAACAAAAGGATTTGCTCTGGCCCTATAACCACCACCTCTTGTCTAGTCCTTCAGCTTAACCTTCTGACACACTGTTGGTACACATATCTTAATTCCTTCTTTCCCATCTTAGATTCTCTTGTAGCCCTTACACATGGTCTCCATCTTACATGATTCCACCCACAGTGGCACAATAGTGATAACCAATTCAGTAGAAAATATATTTCACATTTTTAATTTTTATCTTTTCTCAGAGGTCAGTACTCAAATCTACCAGTTTCCTCATTCCAGTAACTCCACTCTTCTAGTTGTTTAGTCTAAAATCTTCTGAATTATCTTTGACTTTCTTTCATATCTCTCATCTCCTCTGTCAACAAGTATTGTGAGTTCTCCCTTCAAAATGTAATCAGAATTTGTTAGCTTTTACCATCTCAACTTCTACTACCCTGTCCACTCTAATCTTTCTTCTGAAGCTTCCTATCTTTCTGTTCTTGCCATTGTCCCTTTTCCCTCACAATCTTATATGTTCACTAAGAAAATCAGAATGATTCTGTGAAAATAAGTAAGATAATGTCACTTTCTGATTAAAAAACCTTACGATGGCTCCCCATCTCATCTACTTTTAAAGGGAAGTCCTGAGAATGACCTTCAAAGGCTGGTATAAACGTGTTTCTAGTGGTTCCTTGATCTCACCGCTATTACCTCCTCTTTCTCACTTGCTGACTTCTTAGTGTCTCTTGAACATGCTGGCCAGATTCCCGCTTTCAGGTCTATTCCACTGTCTGCTTCCTCTTTTGGGGTGCCTTCCCCCCTTAGCTCCAGGCTCAGTTCTTCTTTTCCTTTAGGTATCTCCTTAAATGTCACCTGCAGACCAACACTGTCCCTAACCATCGTATTTAAATTTGGACAGTCCCTCCCCCAGTAGTAAATATCCTCTTCCTTTAGTTTTTTCTTTAGCATTTAACACTGTTTCACACAGTATATATTTTACTTATTTTGTCTTACTTTGCCTCAAGATGTAATCCATATGAGTGAGGTTTCTCCCTCCTCTTCTTTTTCTGTGTTCATTCCTGTATCACCAGAACCTAGAACAGAACTTAGCATATGGCATATGCTTAGTAAGTGGATTGAATGAGTAGATGGATGGAGATAATGATTTATTTAAAATAGTAAATGTATTGATTTAAAGACTGGCAGAGATTGTCCTTTCAAGTGTTACAGTGTCCTTTACATTGAGAAAATAGGAAGATTTGGAAGGTTTTTTTTTTTTAAACAAAAGACATTCATATTTAATACAATAAAAATTCAGCAACCCAATATTGACTTTTTTCTGCAACTGTCTTTCCCTCTTTTTGTAATTTCCTGGACCAGACAGTCTCCAGTCTTCAAACCAGTGATTTATGTGACTCAAGAAATGTGACAAGAACAAAAGATGAAGTACTATATATAAGGCAGAGCTAGTAGAGGATGCATGCTTAAAAGAGGCTGTTTTCTTACACTTTTATTAATTTTTTAAGAGACTTACCTGTACAGTAAGACTTCTTACGTAATGTAATTTAGGCTGATAATTGGTTTTTTATTCAGGAGAGTTTAATATAATGGGGAATCACTAAAAGGTGACATATGTAATTTAAACTATTTAATCATTTAAATAAAAATATTTGTCAGTCTTTTACTGGGGCATGGTTAGGATTCTGAGTTCTTATGGAACCTCAGTTCCATAAGGCTTTTCAAACATCAGCTGGATTCATTGCATTACCTGCTGTTAACAATTTTGACTTCTTTAAAGTAGAATGAGAATTTAGTCCTATGCAAAGCAGTCGAAGGCTGGAAACTGTTCGTTTAGCAAATTTCCCTCTACTGTTTCTGCTTTAAGTTCATGGAATCTCTGGTGACTGCCTCATCCCAGTGTCCAAGCTCTGACATTTCTAGGAAACCAATAAATTTACATATATTTTGTAATTGAATGAAATCAGTGCAGATCATAGTCTTGTTGAATTCTGCAGTCTTTACAAAGCATACATTTGAAGCATGTAATTCTTGATGTTTGGGGAGAACTAATGTACTAATGTATAATCAAGTAATTGTGGCTTGAGTTCTAGCTTCACCGAGGTACTATTTTACATAAGGCACTTCTCCATTTAAAAGAGGGATAGTAATCCTCTCATAAGAGGATTAATATTGGTATTTACAGAGTACTTTAGGTTCCCCCAAACAAGCACTTAAGCAAATAAACACACTTGTTATATTTACTCTGTAGAGAACAATATTAATAATGGATTATACTGTTTCTCTGCGCTTATTGATGTTTTTAATAAGGGGAAAAAATTATATAAAACTATGAATTTTCATAGATTCAGCTATTTCTTTATGTAGTACAATATTTTAGGTGATGTATGCAATGTTAGAACCTATCATTTCTTTAAATACTATACCTTAATTTTAGGTGCTTTGAAATCTTGCTCAAAATACAGGACAGATAGACCCCACAAGGTCAAGGTGTTTCGTAAAACAGACCCATTCTGTCTTGTACTTCTTGTCCTCTCCTGACCTCTGCTGGTGGGTGCTAGGCCACAGTTTTATCTCCATTCATGGATCTAATTGTTTAAGATAAAAACAAACTGTAAGAGAAAACTCAGCAGTTTTTTATATTCTCACACTTTACATAGCACAGAACACTTCTGATCACCAAGAAGTATTTGGATTTTCCCCATATACCAAGCAGTTCCCCAGTGCACACTGACTGGATGATGTACAATTTAACTCAATTAGCACACTAACCAGAATTAATACAGATCCCATAGTTTAAGGGTATAGTCTCACAAGATGTCAAAAACATCGAAAGCCCCAGGTTGTCACCATGGTTTTGGACTGACTGTAAATCAGGGTACCCCTCACCTCCACCTTAGGTTTGATCATTAGAGTGGCTCACAGAACTCAAGTGTTTTACTTACTAATACTCATTTATTATAAAAAGGAAGCAGTTGAAGAACAGCCAAATGGAAGATGCGTACGGCATGGAGGTAGCTTCATGCCCTCTTGGAGTATGCCATGCCCCACAACCACATAGTTTAGTGACTTTTATGGAAGCTTTATGATGTAGGTAGTATTGATTATTAACTCAGTCTCCCTTTTCCAGAAAATTAGAATGTGGAGCAGATCCAGGAGCCTGGAAAGAGTTACCTAGTAGAACAATAGACACTCCTATAATTCCAAGGGGAATCCTAGGGGTCTTAGCCAGAAGCCAGGGCAGAGACTAAATATATATTAATAATATCAAATATCATCCTAATATTCAAATAGAGGAGCCCATAGTAGCATCTGAAGACTTAAATTTGAACAAGTTTAAAATTTCTTGTTATAGAAGAGAAGGCTGTTTAATAATCCATCCATGCGTTGTCACATGTAAACATGTAAATACATCCATGTATGTGTTTAACTTTTACTGTCTGAATTCTTAGTCATGTGACTAGTGACGGGTTTGAGACAATATAAAAGCCATGTGGCCAACTCAACAAATAGTTGTTTAATAATTAGTCTTCAGGGCTGGGGATTTAGCTCAGTGGAACGTTGCCTGCTTCGCAAGCGCAAGGATCTGAGTTCTACCCCTGATACCAAAAAAAAATTACTCTTCATTTGGTCTTCCACAGAGTTCAAAATATTGTCTCAGATTTCTGGAGTAATCTGCGGTAACAAATGATAGTGATTTCAGTTTTAATCCTGATGCTCTCCTTGCCCTAATAGGAGAGGTGTATTGACTTGGA